CCATGATTCGCTTGGGGATACGATACTTCCGGGTCACACAAACCAAGGCAGGGGAATGTTCCTGGGGAATTGACAACTGGACTCTCAAGACAGCGAGGCGGTGTGTGAAAACCGTAGTCCATATAAACTATTATAGTCTGTTCCAGCCATTTGTCTAGTAGTTTGTTGGTTGGTGGTTTCTCCTACAATCAATTGAAGGAAACAAGTGAGAATCAGATCGTAGGTCAATCCCGAGGTGTTTTTTGAAGGAACAAGTCCTTCATTTTGCTCTTCCCTCTCTATTTTTGAAAATCCGCGCACATTTATGCAGATGTTTATTTAGCATGTCACGTATAATCCTCTTTTGCATTTATTTTGAAATTACAGGAAACGCGACACTGTTCTTTCTGATATGCGCAAAAAAGCCGAACTTTTGGTGCATGAACATTTGGTAAGATTTACATGTGTTATCTGTTTCATACGCTTCATTCCTTTACGCGCGGTTGGATCTGGCTATCTGATTCAGTAACCAAATCTTTTGTTCGTGCTCCAAATGAATCAGCCATAAGATACCGGTAGTGATGGGATATCTTTTCCTCTCTGATAGTACGAAATACTGGATTTGTTGTGTGAGTCGGCAAAAGCACGATCATCTGAAGAACTGTATCTGATTACCAATTGGTGACTTACGGGAACTACCGTTGCAGCATAAAGGAAACCAGCAATTAAAATGTACCTTTTATATAGCAGTCGCCGAGCGAAATGCTTCCAGCTTCAGTCTCGTAGTCCATGTGTTCGAACCTCGCCACTGTTCCTCCTGATCAGTTAATGATTAACAGCTTTCTTTTGATCCTGCTTCTTCTCTCTTTAGTTTTGGTTACACACATTTGTGTGACGAGTGAATGTTAGTTAAAAAATGACCATTGGCATTATCATTGATTCACTATTAATTTTATTGTTGTATACCATTATATACTGAGCAGTAGAAGTTGTCCACCCCATTGTAAAAACCAATCACTGTTCACTGGTGGTAATAGGTCACCTGATTTCTAATACTGGGCTGGAGTAGCCACTCAATCCCATTGAGGACAAAAAACTAATCGTTCATTGCTTTTTCGTCATCAACCGGTTGAGTCGGTTGAGTGGAAAATCACATTAGCTGGAACACTGAAGGCGTCTAATTATGAATACGCCTGGAAAGTAAAACTAATCTTCAACCGTGAAACCCTCAGTAGTTCCAAGCTATGAATACCGTTGTCGTTGATCGCCAGGTGTTTTTTTTCGTTCATTCTGTCAGGAGGTGCGCTAAAAGCGTTTGACATTACTGAGGAATATTATCTGATGTAAAATCAGTTTTGCTAATTTTATAGACGTATATGAGCCCATCGTAGTGATAGGATAGTATTCGTGCACACCGAATTCTACGAATACGTTTACGCAAGATATTGGAGCAAAGGAGTTACCATAGCATCTATTGCATTCCTTTTAGCTACCAAGTAAGATATGTTGGGGCGCGATTATTCGCTTGACTTTTGGTAAAGTGAACTCTGGAGCAGACGGTCATTGACTTCCGTCGGTTGAAATCAACTCAAGATAGATCGATGAACCAGTTTTTATGATCAGGTGTAAATTTTGAAGTGACGCTACTTTGACGGGCTTAGCCTAGGTCCTCAAGAATCTAGTCAACGGAATCTCGTTGAGGTTGAGACTTGCTCGAATATCAGCGCTTCCTTTGAATCATCTGTATAACTTGAGCATTGAAAAACACGAGTGACAAACTGATTAACAGTAATTTGTGGCTAAATGTCGTCATCCGCGAACCGTTTATGTCATTTCAACGGTTATATTTACTTTCATCTGTTATCCAAGTACCTTGAAATTTTGTTCTGATATAATAGCATTGATTGAACTGTTTTACTTGAGTTTTTCTGTATCTTAATATTTCATCACGTAGTATAGCTTATTGATGGGATAATTTGCAATGAAGACCATCGTCTACGTCACGAAATTGCGAAAGCTGTGCCGAATCTGCCAGTGCGCTCCTCTTTGCTTTGACATGCTTGTCCAGAAATAGTACTTTTCCGTGCTTTGCATACATGGTTTATCACATAACAACTGTCACCTACCTTCAGGAAGGATTGTTGCATTATAAGTTTTCGCGCCGCGTTTTCAGCTTTCTGCTCTTTATCGATACAAAGAGATATATGTACATATTCACTTGTAATTTCTCCTTCACAAACAACTTTCAGAATGGACGTCAATTACTTAGTTACTATTATTTAGCAAATGGTTTATCTCAAGGCGAAGTGCATGTAGGTGGATTGTCACGATGTGAATTCAGGATCTGATTTATCTTTTTTGCGTGATCTGGAGTTTGGGTTTTATCAGCACGTCAATTTGGATTAATTTGCGTACAGTTTAAACGATAACCATGTACATGTTGACCTTGTCACGAGCCGTCATATTTTCAGTGTTACTGATCTCAACCTTTTCTAAGTTGCTAATTTTTTTCAATCGGAAAGTAATGTTCGACAGGGTTGCTCTCTCTCTCCATTCCTGTTTAACTTTGTTATACATTTAATTCTTGAAACAGCCCTGTCCTCGTGCGGGCATAGCGGCATCGATTTACTCCCAGGTGGCAGACTGTCTAATCTAGAGTATACAGACGACATTGTGCTACTGAGTGAAGATTCAGCTAAGTTGCCACTGCGAGCGATGCTTGGCGAGGCAGGTAGCGGTTGGAAAAAAACAAAGGGCGGTCAAGCTAAGACCTGGCATGAGGGTATGAAAACACTGACCAGAAGACTAGCTCACATAGGTCCCGTGAGGCTCCCTGGCTGGGGACCCAGAGATCATGATCACCGGTGGTTAGAGAGACTGAGCGATATGACTGGGTGTCGCAAACTGGCGCTCATACATCTACTCATTATTCTTGTAACTTCAGTCTATGAAAATGTGCTACCTTCGGCTTAAATCTGCTCTCAACATTCTAATGATCATTCTGCTGTTTTATCCAAATGGGCAACCAAAACCGGCGCACGAAAGTGCATGGTCAATGGTTGTAAGCACTGAACTTAACTGAATATGAACCCCGTTCTTCGTCTGTTCCCGTAATAATCATCCCGGGCTCAGTTTCACTCGTTTTCATGACTTCCTTACACAACAAACAAGAGTACTGTGGAAAAACAAACTTTATCGCTTCATTCTATTAGTAATAAGTTACTTACAAATCACTAAAGATTCTCTCCCGAACTAGTTTGCATTAGACCCCTCAGTGCAAGAGAAAAAGAGTACAAAAGTGTATTCAAGTAATACTGTTAATCAGCACTAGGCGATTTTCGCTCTTAAAGCGTGTCCCAACTGTTGTCCAAGGTTTCCAATATTGTTTTACCTTTTTTATCTGTCAGCAAATGCAATCAGACAGAACCGTTTACATCAGTCGGCCATGGTTCGTGCGATTCAGTATTTGGGCCGAGCCGGGCCCAATCACAAACATGGAATTCCTGTGCGAACATGGGAATGTGCAACCACAACTTTGGTCCATTCGGGACTCACTCCTATTTCCCATTCCGGAACGGTTATGGATAACTTTGTTGGCAAGGTCAGCCATGTTGTGTTCTATTAGTCCGATGACCTACGCGACTCTGTTCGTTTTGATGAATTCTCATCCCTGTTTTCGTGGCTGCGTATTCCAGTGTTCACTCTGATATCCTCCCTTGAAGAGTGTTTATTGTTGTTCAGCATTTCTTAATCTGAGGAAAACGATATCTGACAACTACAATCGTTCACTAGAACGAAAAGATACACAAGGAGCCTATTATTCATTAGTTGAGCGGATATTTTTGGTTTACACGACTGCTCGATCATATCCATTCCCATTGTTGACGGTCAAAGATGATTTTTATGCCCAGCACTTGGTCATCTCGTTGTTGTGGTCCTGTTCACCTAAGTGGGTCATTATAAAAGTCCCATCACTAAACTCAATGCATCACACTTAAAATTATCCCAGTCCGTGAATCTATGCTAGTCGTAAATCGCTATAGAGACCTAAGAATTGCTAATACAGGAGCAACAAATTGGTTTTCACCTGAATGTTTCCCTCTTCTTGTAGTATGTCTTTGACTATGGGGTTCACCCTTTTTACCATAAATCACTTTGTGTGCGATAAAATTGTGGTGAAAGTCAGTTCCATTTACTAAGTTCATTCATTTGTCCTCTGTTCACCAACTTTGGGGGTGGAGAGGGGATATTTGTTTGCGAATGTTTCATCACCAGTCAGGGTAAGATTTCCAGTGATTGGGATGTGATCGTCTTTCCGCGTAGCATTCTAGTCTGTTTCCTTTTGGTTGGTGCTTGGTGTTTTGTTGCAGCAACATAGTTGTAATTCAACGGTCAAGTTAACTCAACTAGACTACATAACCGTAAGCTACCGGAAACGTGGCTCCGCACAAAATTACAGGTCCTGTTGGATGAACTGCTGAGTTTGATCACGCATGAATTTTGGTGCACATCTCGCTTCGACTCATTGGTCGTCAAACAAACCATCAAACTCGGTTAGCGCACCATCGTTCTCTGACCCAGGCGTTCGTGTCCCGTATCAGGTATGGAGCATGCGCTAAAAGCACAGCAATAATGGTAGCCAATTCGATATGCAATGCATTCTGAAGCCCGTCCGAAACATTAGATCTCTCAGAAATCAGTAGTCCTGATGGAGAAACTGCGCCAACTCCTGATCGGCGAGGATCAAGAGGGGGTGATTTACCGTGCAACAATAGCTCACGAAGAACCTCAGTAGGAACAGTAAAAATTGGTTGGCCAGAATACTTATAGAAGTTGAAGCAGCTGCTGCTTTAAGGAATAGCCAGTCTCTTACAACTGTTACGCGACTGTCAGCGGACCTCACTTAGCGAAAAAATCCACAATAAAGCTGATTAAAATTGATCGCACTGATTTGGTCGCGAGGCCCGCTTCTGCTCCTTCTTTGTCAAAATAGTGTCCCAGAAGTATGTCAACTTGTTCAAGTCACTGCACTCACGTACCTGTAGTCGAGTGTTGGTATGTAACGAACTAAGCAGCTCTTTCGTCACCACCCTGGGGCTCCCGAGTACAACGGTTCTCCGGGGTACATATAGCTGTACATTGCCAGGTCTGTCTCCGGATTATGGATAGGGGTTACCCTCACCAACAGTTAACTGTGGATAAATCATGGCTTGCCGTAACAAATAGGCAGTCGTGAGCAAACAGCGGTCGCACCACTGGAGCTTGGGCGCAGATAGACTGGTAACTTCTCTCCGCAAAAACTCAATTACAGTTCTAAGACAGGGGGCAATGTTGATGGCCTTTCAAAAGTAAAATCGATGAAACCCTTACGTGGTGAGTGTCAGTTGACATCCACTCTGTTACGTCCAACGGTTTTTTAACCTACTCCCACTGGCCTCTCTCTGGGGCTCATAATCCGCTTGGGCATGGCTGCCTGAATGTTTGAACCATTTTAGTCACCGGAAATCCTGGGACTGCAGCGCCCAATGCTGTTTCGTCCCCTTACCGGTAAGTTTTTAATAACCAAAGGCTCTTATCCGATCAGGAAAACCGGGAAGTATGCTATATGGGCTGGAGCTGGGGACGTCATCTACTACCAAATTCCCAATTCCCATGGATATTACAATCATAAAGGATATAGTTGCATAAAAACAGTGGTGTTATCAAGGGTATGATATTACACTATTTAAAAAAAATTGCGTCATAGCGGAGATATTAGAGAACCCTTGAGTTGTCGCCAAAATTTTGGTGAAAGATGTCCGACCTGTGGTCCGCCGCCGACGGCATCCGTATTTCCGAATTCATGTTACGTGATCTGTCATGTTTTGCGTATGCCTGCCCATCGACTACCTCGTAACACAAAAATATCTTCGAAAAGTGTACAGTGAAGCTATAAAAAACCACTCATTCACTCGTTCTCCGTGTTCTCTGTTTTCCCCACTTTCATCTAATCTTCCTCTACCCCTCCATGACTTCATCATCATGGTTTTGCATTGGTACCATGCTTGTTCTCAAGCCGGTGTAAAATATATATGTATTTCCGAATTCATAAGTTATGTTGCTCCTTTCTCTATCTGCTTTGCACCTTCAAAGTGCAGATTGATGCTTCAAGGCTGCGTATCGACCAATCAAGCTTTGAAGCTAATCTATCGGATTGATTCAATTTGATCGCTTCTTTCGCCTCGTCAATTGCATGACGAATGACGGTGTCGCAACCAAGGAGGCAACCACAAGCATTTCTTAGACTTGAGCATCTCACGCAGCACTAAAACACCTTTGGCGATGACGTAATATTTCAGTGGAGTTCTGAAGGTCGTGTATACTGCGCCATTGTGCGCTTAATTCTGCTGTACGTCCGTGAGACCTTGAATTTCCGAGAAGACGTCTATCTATTTATTATAGATCTTCGACAATCGGTGTTTTCGTCGTTTGGAACTGGTTGGTTGGAGTTGGTCGGTTAGTAACCTTTGGGTGTGTTGGAGAATGTATGGATGAAAAATAATTGTCACAACGAATTCCAGTAACAGCTTCGCTGGTTGGGATAAGTATGGAACACGCGAAACTGTCAACTGCCGCTCCAGGCCGTTACAGTTACCGCGTTGAAAATCCCACCCTGATTGGTCATGAAACGTTAACACTCATAGTCAACCATCTTTATATATATATATATATATATATATATATATATATATATAT